ACTTCAAAGCACACCCTTCATTCTCGTGTAGCCAATCTCAGCTGTTACACAAAGCCAGCCAGTCTGCAATTTGTGTGATTTTCTACTTTTATTTTACACCAAGTACAAAAAACACAACAGAGAATACATAAACACAAACCAAACACACAATTTAAAGTATAACTGCACTGCTCTGAGTGTGTCCATCCTCACTTTTAAACTATAAAAGACTTCCTGGGTAGCATGCACTCCTGTGTCCTCTGTTGGAAGCCGCTTTGGCAAGTGTTTGAAGCGGTTTCTCTCGTCTTGGATAGCTGGTAATATGGCACCACAAAATCGGTTTCCAGGTCATGAAGAAGAGGAGGATGAGTGGTACGAAAAAGCAGTAACTGTCAGGATTCTGGATGCAGCCATAGACTGGCTTTTTCACAAGAGGTCTTACGGAGGTCAAAGTCAGTTTTTCAGATGAATCATATGGCCGTAAAGAAATATGCTAAAATCGATGAATGGCCATTGACATACACTGTGCTTTCAAATGTTTCTCTAATGTTATTTTTAGAAGTTAAACCGAAAAAAGAACTGCTTGTGGGTACCCATCCAGCCATTTTTGGGTGATGCAGATGAAAAGAGAAGAGTGCCAAAGGCAACTCTCCAAACGCCAATGGGACAGCACTGCCGAATATTAAGACTACAAACAGTGCAAAACAGCTATTGCAGGATCAAAGACATGAATATTGCAAACTTGAATCATCATTTGTGTTTGCAAGGTATGAGTATAGTTGCTTTATCTATCTATTTTTAAAACATTTTCACAATTATAACACTCAGATATGCTTCTGAGACTTGAAACACAAATGAAGCACAGACTATGAACTGTGTGAGGGCATGTACCACTACTGTCACCGAAAAGGAGGAAGATGTTGGCCATGTCAGGAACAGACTGCATGATGCTGAAGCTTTGCACACCTGACTCATTAGAGATTGTGATTTGGCACAGCTTGCGAGACTCAAGGTGACAGTATCCGTAACTCCAGGTGCATTCCAAAAAAAGTAAGAAACAAAGCAAGATGTAAAAAATTACCCTACAAGCAAACAACTTTGCCAGTGCCAAAACATCTACCCAATTGAAGGAGTTCACAGAGGAGGTACATCTAAGCCAGCCCCCTTCAGTCAGCTAAGTTAATTTAGCTACCCTTAACTCTCCAGATTTCCTTGCTAAGGTAAAAAATGATCAATCTTGCACTCTTTATTTTAGTCAGATATCCTTTTGTATGTTGGGTTTTTCACTTTGTGTGGAATCAACTCTAATCGATTTCCATTACTTGGAATCGTAATCGGAGTCGACTCCTAGATTTCTGGAATTAAACAGCCCTAGCTGTAGAAAAGTCGATGTAGTCTAGGGCGAGCTCAGGTATAAAGTAGTTTTGGTAGGCTTCAGCCAAAATGTTTTAGCCTTTTATACTGCTAGAATTAACCCTTTAGTTTAGGTTGACTAACTAACAGAGGCTCATGAGAGTCAGCATCTAAACTTTGGGCCTCAGGTGTGGGAATTTGAAATGGTGGGCAAGCCTGTGAAGACAACGAAGGAGCTTAGCTGTTGGCAGGTACATTGAGGGTCTTGGTGCTTGTAGACTCTGAAGAGCACGAGACAAAACAGTCAAACATGGTAGTTGAAGCTGCTTAGATACATCACATGCAGTTGTGTCACACCCATCAGCAGGTACAGAGGAAAGGTAAGGTGATTACAATGGTCAATTTGGGATTTATCAGACTGGTTCAGCAAATAACGGATCCTGTAAGTCACTCTAGGAATATCATCCTCAGATTCAAGGCACTCAATCATTCAAGGTGTTTTTGTAGCATGAGGGCAGGTGTTACAGTCCAGAGCAATTTGGTTAAGACAATCAACTTGCCAGGCTGTTGCAGAAGTGGCATAGCCAGCTGCAGGGATAGGGGGGAGTAACTAAGTACAATTTTTTGTAGCTAGTAGCTGTTGCCGCTGCAGTTTTATAAAATGTAGCTAACAGCTGTAGCACCTACAAATTTTTGTGTAGCTATAGCGACAATTTCGCTACTGGCTTCAGACAATCCGCGCAATATCTGAACCACAGACCGCGTCCATTAACTGGGCTGGTGGCGGCTGTGCAACCCTGACTGAGCCGTGGACAGTTCGAGCAAACAGGCACGCAAAAAAATGCAGACTTACTTTGCTCTGCTTTAAGCTTTTGGTCAGCCGTCACTTCTCTCGCATCTCAGGAAACTTTTCCGTGAGTTTCTTGTAAATTATCTCTCAGTGTTTGACTTTGACGAGGCTGAAGTCGCTTCTCCGTCTCCAGCTTCTCGTTCGAATTGTCCCGTTCCACCTTAAATGGTGCCTGAGGCACCAGATTGTACTGCTGCGCCATTTAAGGTGGAACGGGAGAATTCGAACGAGAAGCTGGAGAATGAGAAGCGACTTCAGGTTCGTGAGTTGTTGCAGATTAAACGTATCAGGAAACCAGATGAGTGCTTATAAATGCAAATAAGGTTGTTAAAGGTTGGTGAATTAGCAGTTATGCGTTAACTCCAGCGTTTAAGACCATTTATTGTGAAAACTGTGGTAGAACTGTGTTACAATGATTTTACAGTAAAGGAAGATTATGTTATTTTACCTAAAAATCTAGTTCTGCTGGGGTGCTGCAACAGCTCTGCAGCAGTGGAGAGATTATTCAGGCCTGACTGAGGCTAAAGTGTTGCTGAAGTTTAAAAAGGACTCTGAATGTTATGTCTGTATCTTGCTGAAATGTTTAAATTGGAACAGTTTTATTTCAACAGTTAACAGTGCTTTGCACAAAATTGTTTGGTTTGTATTCAGTTATTTTTGTTGATTTTTGTTAGGAAAAACCTGGAATGATTGACTTTGCCTTTACTTAATCTAATTTTTTGTTGGATATCACGCCTTACTTTTTGGTAATCTTTTTGTATATTTGCAGCTTTTCAATTGTATGTTTCTTTCTGGCACATGATTTAATGCAGTGTCTTGTTCACACTTTCAGTTAGGCTTGTTTGGTGTGTCAGGTGGAGATTAGCTACAAATTTTGGGAAAGAAGCTACAAAGTAGCTAGCTACAATTTTTTCAGCAGCTATCCCAACCCTGGCCAGCTGGTCAATGAGAGTCCTATTGAAGAGCTTGACCAGGCCCTCACATTGAGGACGATATATGCTTGTTCAGGTTTTCTGAACTCCAAACAATTTACACAGATGACTGTCAGTGCGTAAGGTTTCTGGAATGTCATGTTACCAAATATAGTTTTCGAAAAGGTTACTGTCGTAGAACGATGATCTGGAATAGCAGACAGATTGGCGTACATAGAAAAATAGTCTTGAACAAGTACGTACCAAAGCTTGAGATGGGAAGTTCAAGTATGTCAGCAGCAACTTTTTGAAACTGTGAACTTTACTGGGAGAGTGGGCCACAACAGCATTACACTTACACAGTCGGTTGGCACAGAAGATGCAGCTGTGGCTCCTGAGACACAAGAGCTGTGATGATGGTATCACTCATAGCAGGAAGCTTAGCAGGCGCTAGACACATTACATCAGGCAGCTACTTTAGGAAACAATGGGGATGCATGTTCCCCAACAGCAGTGTTTTGTTGGTGATATCGAGCAGGACATGATGTCCTTCTAAAACGTGCCATCCAAATGTAACAGGGTAATGAGCTCCTCTGACAACTTGGGATTTCATGCTGCAACACCTCTTTTCCTAGCCTTATGCCCAGAGTCAAGATGCCCAGGGTGTCTAAGTACTGTCCACTCACCGAGCGTCTTTTCAATGCTGGATGGGATGTTTATAAATCTTCACCCACAATAGAAATAGCACAACCGCTATCAAGTAAAGCAGATAGTTCAGTGCCTTCCACAACAGCAAGAATGTTGTCATTCATTTGCGAGTCATGTCCATCAATGGGAGACTGTGAGGTGTGAAGTTGGGGTTCTGATGGGGTAGCTGATGTTTACGCCTCAACAGCAACCAATGAGTATTTTCCTCAACTGAGCTCCTCAACTGCCTTAACAAGCTTGTCCTCAAAAGACTTAGAGCGAACTATAGCTACCCAGGCTGGGGTCAGAGAAAGAGGCGGACAAGTGGAATTCAACTGTAGTGCAGTATGTGCTCTCTCACAGCGACTGACAGCTTCCTCCATGCTGTATGGACCCATCTCATGAATTTTTGACTGTAAGGCTGGGTCTAAACCAGCCCCAAAGCAGCCAAATTTCTCTCCTCCCTGAGCATTGTGATCTTAATTACAAAAGACTTCCAGCATAAGGTGAATGATAGCTGCACTCACTTTAGGAAACAAGGTGATGTCCATTCCTAAGCCCTAGAGATTTGCCTTGCCAATACCTGCCTATTCAATATTTCATAAATTATGTCATATTAAGTTCAGGTGTACTGTTGGTGGAATTGAACATAACCTTACAATAGCTATACTGGGTCAAGGAGAAGATGAACAAAACTGTGTTTTTCTAACCGGCTCACAACATATCAACACATTTACTAAAAACAAGAAACTCTCGTTGTTTTTATCGTATTAAAATTTATTTGCCTTTATTTTGTTGGCAGATATATACCTGCAAAAAACATACATTTAGCTCAGATAAAAAGTTTCCAACAGTTTTCTGGCCTAAAACTTTTGTACTGTGTGTCAGAGGAAATCTTTTCTGTCCTGATGAGCTAAAATTCATTATTTCCTTTCATAATGCACTATGTAGTCAAAGCAATTTGTACTGTTTAGCTTCCACTACCTAACTGATACTTTACAAATAGAAAAAAAAGTCTGTTTTGAGTTCTTTAGACAACATGAAACAGCTAATCTTGAACTTTATTGTAGCAGATAAAAGTATAAAAAGGTCATAAGATCGCACTGGACAGATTTAAACTGTCATGATAAGGTATTTGTCAATAGTGAAATTCTGATTGTCAGTCTCTTACAAAATATAAAACGTATTCAAGCATGGAGCCATATGGTGTACCAGAAAAACCTCTTGTGGCTCCGAACTCTGCTAAACACTGCACTCTTAAAAATACAGGTTCCTAATACGTTCTCAGCTTAGATCTAGGAAAAACTTTTTCAGTAGGTATAGGACTTTCACATTATATGGAGCTTTAAAAAGGCTCTTTACACTCCACACGTCTCATTTACAAAATCCTTAAAGAGCTTTAAAAAAAGTTCTTTAGGGAAACAAAAGGTTGGTTTTTCCATGGCATTGCTCCACAAATAGCTTTTTGGCACCTTTATTTTTAAGAGCTCGGGTGGAAATATAAAATACATTAACAGCATACAGTGCAATTCTTTCTCAGATTACAGACTTGGACTGTCCCACTAGCCGTTCCTCTTCTGAGTAGCGACGATAGTGATGTCCGAGCAGTGGTTCCAACCCATCAGGTGAGCTATACGCCCGCACAACACATGCGATGACTCCACCGACCACAATCACCACCAGCACCACCACAACAATGGCTATGGTAAGGATCTCGGACAGTGTAAAAGGCCGAGCTGGAAAGAAGAAGACAGAGGTGAGTATCCACACTGACATGCATGGTGAAGAGCACTAGTTTTTTTGTACTTAGCATTATAGTATTGTATAGTATTGTATATGGGTTTATTACAATAGTTATGCACCTTATAAATTACCTTGATTTCTCATGTGGTGTTTTGTTTTCACTGGTCAGTGTGACACTTGGTGCCCAGTCATTTACATTAGCAGGTCATTTAAAGAGGAATTCCACCAATTTCTTAAAGCATCTGCATAATTCAATGCTTAATATGTAAACAGTCATTCAGAGTGGTTTGATGTAAAATGCTCTGTTCTAGGGAACTGTCAGAATTGTTCACAGTGGTGGTGATGGGAACCTGAAATATCAAGAGTTTTACAGTCGTTCTGAGACATAATTATTGGTCTAAAACATATTATTTAAAAAAAAAACATTCCTAACAAAGAGGTACATGCAGGGTGTTGTAAGGCAAAATAGTCCCAGGAAGAAAACTATGTCACCATTATTAACGTATAAACATATTATTACATTAACATGCATATAAAAACTCAGACATGTAGGTTGAATATCTTTTTGGATAGTCAGTAAAATTGCTATATTTGCATTGTGCCCGCTGGTTCTTATCGCCGCCACAACGCACACATTAAACTACTGTGAATGAGTTAGTTTACATCTCAGTCACTGACTTTTGCAGACATTTAGAAAAATTAAGAAATTACCCTTTAACTACTTGTGATTACAAATGCCAGGACCAGAAACTGGATTAAAGGTCCAGATTTGAAGACCTGTGGGTTAAAGAGGTAGTTCTGGGGAAAAAAAAAAAAAAACTAGCACAATTTTCATTACGTTAACTCAAAAGTCGTTGATCAGCGCAGACATGTTTGGTGTCTGAGGTTTGCTTCTTTAAGGCTTGTGTAACTAGAAAGTAATAGAAGTTTATGTTTCACTAATTAGCATTATGCAAACTGCACATTTATTTCAAACAGTCCTGAGTTGTTAGGTAATCTAAAAAGAATTTGACTGGCATACAGCTATTTATAAAATTGTTTAAAAGTACAGACAAAACCCAGCTGCTACCACTGTTTTACTTTTGTCCATTTTTGTAGATAAATGCGTCAAACAGTGTTAGAAACTACATAAGCAAGTCACAGTTTGAGGCAAGTGTGATGATTTGTGGCAGTTTGCATGATGCTAACTGGCGACAGTATAAGCTTCTATCACATTTAAATTACATTAGCCTCGCAGCTCCCCTGCAAAACTCTCTCTCACTCACTCATCACCTAAGATGCTTATGCTCCTGGGTTGTGGGGGTGCTGGAGCTTATCCCAGTGCTCATTGGGCGAAGAGCAGAAAACACCTTGGACAGGTCACCAGTCCATTACAGGGCAGACACACAGACATACACATTCACACACACACACACACACACACCTAGGGGCAATCTGCAATTGCTCTGACTGCATATGTTCGGACTGTGGGAGGAAACCTGAGCACCCAGAGGAAACCTGTGCAGACACTGGGAAAACATGCAAACTCCACACAGAAAGGACCCCGGTCATCCACTGCTAAACTAAAAACAAACTTCGGACACTGAAGTTGTTTTGGTTGATCAACTGTATTTTGGGTAACGGGACAATTAGTACAGATGCACCAAAATACCTGCCACCCAAAGAGAAAAAGGTGCCAAACATTTTGGCCAAAATAAAAAACCCAAACTAGGACTACAGCAAGAAGTCAAAAGTCAAAGACTATAAATAATGTAGATGGGTATTAGACGCATTCAAACAATTTGAGCAGCAGCAGATCAACAGTGAAAACGATGGCTGCATGGAACTATTTCATAGTTATCTGTATCCCCATTGTCGATACCAATACTGCGTTTAAGTGCTGGTATCAGTGCAACCCTACTAAAAAATAATGGAATTCATTGCCCTGAATGACCAACTGTTCTCTGTTGTTGAGAATGTGGCCACATACAGTGGCTTACATACTGAAATAATGTTAGTAAGTTCGCTTTATGTCAACTATTTTTATTTATTGTCAGCTCAGTTTGGTCCTATTGAAAGCAGATTTTATCAATACTAAGAGTCTATTTTCTATTATTATGTTTATTCAAAAGCATAAATAAAACAGCAATCTAAAAGAAAAGATATTTTTAGTGTTCCGTATGTGTTTTATGTGTCTTTAATTTCAGTAACATTTTGTCTTAAGTTGTTATTAACAGAATAACAAAGACATTATCTGCCACATACTTGGCCATTCGACCTCATAGGTGTATCCCAGAGCCTCAGGAGCAGATACGAACATTTCTGCATTTGTGATTGGTGGCCAGAAAGGAACCATGTTGAAGTTCCGGTTGTGACCAATGGGAGCGTTCTCTTCAGGGTACACCGCTGTGCCTGCAACATAAGGTATGAGGTATGTAGATTAGGTCAGTGGGCCTCAATTTTATCCTTACAGACACCACGGGACTTTTATCTGTTATTTATTTTTCCGTTTTTAGTCCCCCATGCACAGAGCCTTTTTCAGGTGGACAAAACTTAATTTCTTTATATTCTCAAAGGAACTTCAATTAATTACAGGCAAAGAAGATAACAGTGGCTGCTTGATTGGTTGAGGAGGTGTCTTATTCTTTAGAAGGAACAAAAGCTTGGGCACTCATGGTGCTGCAGACTAATGAGAAATAGGTTGATCTGTCTTTAAAATGTTTTAGATATTGCTTACGCAGCAGTTACTTCATTGAAAAGTTTGTCCCATTTGTTCTTTTATATGAAATGGTGAGGTATCCAATGTAACGACCTGATCCAATGACCTGATAAAATGGACAAGAAGTGTAGATACACCTAAAAGCTTCCTAGTATTGTACAAATGGTTTCAAACCTGTATAGCTGTACAGGACTAACACATTAGGATCATTTTATACATGTATCTGCAACCAGATTATTTTTATGTTATTGAACTTTTTAATGGTTATGTATGTGGTATGTGTGTGTACCAGGACTGTGTCTCTGGAGCCACTCATCAAAGATGGCATCAGTGAAAGTGTGCAGCAGGACGAAGATAGGGTCGTTGGGGGAAAGATGGGTCTGACCGCCTGTCCCGTTTAGGAACAGGTGAGCCAGGTTGTGTAGACTCCGCACCACTGGGTCATACTCCCCCTGGGGGGCACTGTAACCTAACACATGAAACACAAATGGTATAAAAAAACAATGTTGTGTGTGTGTGCGTTTTACTGTAGCTCCAACTTAGAGATACACGAGTAGGATGTCAGTAGTAGTGCAGTGTAGTATGTGTCAGGGCTGTACAATATAGTTTGTTAATTGTTATTGTGATATTACTTTTAAAATACTTATATTACAGAAGAATGCAATATGCAAATGAGCCCTGTAGTAAATATCACATTGTTATTCTTCTGTGAGCATCTTCATAACACGGGTGCAAATTTGCTTTGGCAAATGGGGGGCCATTGTCAGGAGGTTAAAGCATATATGGATCAATTCTACTGAATTTGTTCAGTGTTATAGTTGAAAATACATTAAAAAACACATTTCAGACTTTTACTGGCTTAGACTAAAATGTTTTTGCTTTGAATGACCCTATACCTTAATTATGTTTGTTTAAACAAATGACTCAACATCAAAACAATGATAACACAACCGAAACTTTCCTAAATGTTTCAGTAGTGACTGCTTCAGGATTGCTTTAGCTAATTTTGCTAATTTTGCTGCTCATCATGTGGCCATGAGGGACAAGGATGCAGTCCTGCTGTAAAATACATGGGTATGGCTAAAATAAGGCTCCGTCTGTCGACTAAAACTATGTCTTAGTTATGACACGAAAACATGAAAAGTTTCTTTATTTAAAAATAAAACTTGTAATAAATTCACATTTTTCAACTTGACTTTAAAAGAAATTAGAAAAGTCTTAAAAAAAAATGTTATTTTTCCCAGGTTGAAATATATATTTAGCTTATTACTATCTCTTTCAATGCTTTGATATCTCTGAATACTTCATTGGTTTTTTTAGTTTTTTACTGTGGGACTGCAGTTTGAACTATTTTTTATATACAGTGATTCAAATGTAACACTGGAAACAAAGTACACCTTTTATTATATTGATATCTCATGCTATTCATCAAAATTAAAACACAAAAACAACTATTAGTAACATGAATAATATCATACATATTCTGTATAGAGATTCAGTTTTGTTGCTTATTATAGTGAAAATTTTTCTCTTTTCTTTGTGTCACTAAAATTATTAGTCTGATCTGCATGTTTGCTATAAAAATTCCGAAAGTACCCTGACGACGATAAATAAGTTGGTAATTAAGAAGAGAAAGTGAACTATTAATAACTGTTATAGCATAGATTAACAAATGTTCGCAAGACTGGAAAGGCTTGTTACTGGTAAGTGTTAATTAATCTCGGTGTTACTGAGCTCTGCTAAAGCCTGATGAGACTTACAAATCAATGTGATCAGTTATTTATCTCAGTGTTACTGAGCTCTGCTAAAGCCTGAGCAGACTGATAAATCAATATGTTAAGTCAGTTATTAATTTCAGTGTTACTGAGCTCTTTTGAGGGACGATGAAACTGAACAGTCTCCTCAGTAGTGGACAAGTTCACAACTGATAATCACGACCGTTCAATAATCAAGACAATTGGTGCTGTACTGCACTTGTGTATGTGTGTTCTATGGCCAGTTACATACATGTCATGAACTGACATTAACATGCTAACTCACTTTATTGTCAGGATTTCGTTATTGGTATATGTTGAATTGTTTGCATAGTTCATGACTATGAGAGCCAAAATAATGCTAACAATTTTATAACTTCATTTAAATAAGTGAATTTTTCACGAAACATACTAACAGAAAAACTGCATTATGAAAACTGTCAACTAGTAATAGCAAGAACTAGTATGAATAAAATAAAAAACTTTTTCATATATAGTAAAGGAATATGTTACTGAACACATAAGGACAGTTTTCAGGCATCTACTTTTCCAAAGTATTCTGCTCAATACTGTGTATCTTACCTTCAATAGTGTTTCTGAAGCTCCTGGAGGAGGTGGAGTAATATGGAGGTGTATCAAATGTGTTCAGGTCCAGGCAGTCAATGATATCTTGAGGTTCCGGTAGTTTCTGAACCATTGGCCTAGCCACGTTACCGGCAGGGTTCCGTCTGATTGGCCCACTCTCTGTACCTACACACACACAATGCATGCACCATAGCATGATAATACTCTAAGATGCTTTAAATAACACAGCTTATACTGCAAGGCAAGCATGTCAAACTGGGGACCTTTCAGGCCAAAGTGTTGTGGATATTAATGTTTACCCTCATCTAATTTTCAGAATTCAATTCATGAAGGCCTGGCTAATTAGCTGATGAGCTGAACCAGGTGTGTTTAACGAGGTAGTGTGCTGAAGTCTGCAGTGTTTTGGCCCACAAGGACTGGAGTCCAACACATGTGCTGAGAATTTTTAGCTGAAGTTAAACACAGCTCAAACTGCTGCATTACTGCACCCATTATTAGGACAAGATTTTGTTGTTTTTGTAAGACGCATGCCTTTTCAATGAATGTTTGCTTTCTTTCAGTATTTTTATGTTAGTCCTACATCGCTTCAGTTAATTATGTATACATCTTCTGCTGCTTGTCTTGAGTGACGCTTGCATATACATGTTACACTGCAATGGGTAGCAGTCAGTCAGTGAGTCAGTAAGAGACAGTGATTCTCATAAGCACAGTGAAAAGTAGTTTTTCCATGATATTGGCCCTTCAGATGTTATTTCCTATACAAATATATGATACCCATCACTTGGTGATTTACATTTTTCAAAGAAAATGTGAGATACAAACTAAGGTTTTCATGTATAAAGGATACTTTAAGGGATCATCTCAATCTGTATGGATTTTACACGTAATTGCTTTAATGCAAGTTTGAAAGGCACCTCATTTGTAGCTGAAGTGCTGTTGTAGCCTCTGTGCATTCTGTGGTGAAGTAATTGTTTTCTTACAGCAGGAGGTTAAGTGAGGTTAAGCTGAATAGTGCACGTGATGGTAATTTTGGGTTTTGGCCACATAAGGGTACATCTCTCTAACCAGCTCACATGCCTGCCAGGATTATTTCAAACTGTGCGAGTGAGTATGGTGAATGTGTTCCATGCATCATGTGATATGTGTGTGTGTGTGTGTGTGTGTGTGTGTGTGTCTGTCTGTTTCTATTTATGAATGTTTATTTCTTGTTCTGCTCCAAGGTTATTAAAGCTTTCTCAAACGCATAGGAAGCATTTATGACTTGTGTCTTTAAAGCTGCACTGTGTACATTTTGGAGATGTGGAGACCACTGTTATGGAAATGTGTAATGGCATGCAACATGTGGAAAAGGATTTTGTAACGTGGGTTGTGCTGTTCTCATGCTGTGCAGTGCTGATGTAGTGAAATATGCACCTGTTTAAAATCCTAAAACTCCATTTCTGCACACACATGTTGCATAGAACACACTGAACATATAATGATAATTTTGTCCAAACAAATTAAAGCTGCACTGTGTAAGATTTTGGGATTTGGAGACCTCTCTGGTGGAAACGTATAATTGCATGCATTATGTGGAAGAGGCGTCTGCCACGGGATCTGCCATGGGATAAGGCTCATGGGAGACGCATGACCCCTTAAGAGGGACTGTTTATTGTGTTGCTGATATTGTTTTCTGTTAGTTTTATATAGATTTATACGTGTTTGAATGTGTTATTTTGTGTTGGGGTGCAGGCATAGTTAGTGTGGGTTGGGGGGTCACCAACAGTGGGGTTTTTTCAGGTGACCTCCCTGCTATTTTCATGTTGATGCAAGTGATTTTTCTGCTTTCTGTTCAATAAAGAGCAATTTTCTAGCAAGAATTATAGCCTCACCTGATTCTTCTTCGCCAAGAGGCCACAATATCTTTATTAGTGTACTGTTGATTTTACATTTGAGGCCTAAACATCCAGCTGGCCCTTCTTTATGAGCGTGTGCATGTGACGTTAATATTCAAGGACACATGATGGTGTCTGGAAAAACTCAAAAAAACTGACCTGACACCTCTAAATTGTTTCAGGTTTTATAGTGAGGCTCGCAGCAGCGCATGCACACCATATTTTCTGGCTTGAATAGGTAAAGATGTGTAGAGACAACTTTTCATATCCTTTATGAATCTCCTAAACCTATTCGCCTGTTACCACAGTGTTCAGGTTTGTCTTAGATATGCTGTGACATGCACTCAGCTTCACTTTGAATCTCAAAACTAGAGCTTAACAAATGAATGAGACTGTTTCCTTTTGTGTAAGCATTTTTTATCGGTTTGACATGTACTAAATTATCTTCAGTGCAAAGTCATAGCTGTGGGAGTTCTTTTAGTGTAGCCTCTAGTTACATGAATGTGATTATTTTTTTAAAGTGTCATGTCATCTTTAGTCATTAGATAATGACGTTAGTTAAGGAGGACATTAGGTGGTGTTATAAATTAATGCAGATGTTCATTTATTTAGTTTCTTCTCAGATTAAAAAAATCATTTTCTGACGTTGGTTGCCATGCCTCTTATCCTTACCTACAATTTCCTACATTTCTTCTTAAGTGGTCACCAGGAGGGTTTCTCTGTTTAGGTACTTATGTGACTTCAGAATTCAAGCAGCTATATAGAGCCCCAACCTCCCACCAAGTAGAAAGAATATGGCAACACCTAGACTGATTGAGCTCTTGACCTGTTTCTTGGTTGGGGCATATAGCACTTCTTAAAATGAGTATTTTACCAAGGCCTAGGAGAGCTGTGTCAACCCTGTTACAGTTAAATACACTTAAGGTATGGAGGGCTATTGGTAGCTTTGAAAAGAGGTCTAAGTTGACCTCTGTTTTAATACAATTATTAATACACCTGATTTAATACAAGCTAGTTGTGATGCAGACAGGCTTTTGACTTTGCAGTAAAAGGCAACCAAAGGCATAAAAAGGTTAGCTGATCTTTTTAAAGATGGTGATTTCATGTGTTTTGAAAGGTTGACTCTGTAATATTATTTACCGAGACAAACTTTTTTTAGATTCTTACAAATTTTGAAATTATTTCATCAAGAACAGTTTGTTCACCAATAATTTTGAGAAATCCCCTAAAGAAAGACTCTTATTTTACCCATCTGGAAAAAGGTCTGTGAGTCAGTTAACATCACTCACTCTGTTCAACAAAAATATAATCTATGAACGTACATGGTATATTTGTTTATCGTCAACAGCATTCTGACTTGTTATTAGGCTGTTAAGTTTCTAGTCTGGTAGACCAACTGGGAAGTCTGTTTGCAGCATGTGTTTAAGTAGTACTTTGTCATGAATTAAATGAAACAAATAAATAGTATTTTTACGTTTGTATACAGTTTTCTATTTCATTTTCACTGATTTTCATGGCTTATTGTAGTGTATATTGCTGTGAAGTGCATGTAAAAATCGGCGACGGCTCTGTTCTCTAAATCTATTCTCTTCGCACTCGCAGCCTGTGTGAAAGCGCTTACCCATTAACGTGGGCGCCGAAATAAAAAGCATGACTTTCCGCATTGCTCACGCCACACAGATGCAGTGTGTGTGAATAAGGATTTAGAAAAGCTCAGCTAGGTTACTGGATAATAAGCCCTAGTATGTAATAAGCCTGGGATTTTAGGGGTTAAGTTCTGCACTCCATTCTACAAGGTATGGGGGCCTTAAATGAACTCCATAGGGCCAAACTTAGCAACCGTTGTATGACTGTTTTCCTTGATCTCTGAATCTGTAACAAGGCCCACCAGACAACCCCCCTTTCTATTTCTTTCTCTGTACTGAGCCTGTTGAAAAGGTTGAATTGAAATGCATTTTCTGTGTAATGTAAAGTCTTATTTAGTGCCCTTCAAAGGAAAAGCCAAATAGAAATATTCTAACATACTAACATACAATTATGTTCTAACATAATAACATACTGGCTAGCATTTTTGCTAGTGAGTTATGATTAAAATTAGCTAACATTGTCACTATGGAATAGTCTTTTTACAAAATATTTTGGTATTTTGGAATGGAACATTCAATAATTTATTTCAATAAAAAAAAACAAAAAAAAACATAAATGTGGTACAGGGTCACTCAAAGCGAAAGGAGTTTAATCCAAGTGAGTTAACAGGAACAAAATGGGTTTTCAACTCTGACTTCAAACCAATGCGGTAGACTGAATCTGTATGTGTGTGTGGGTCTCTTACTGTTGCAGATGGTCCCTAGTTTCTCATACTCCTCCACACTCTCACAAAGCACTCTCCACTGGGAGAACACAGAGTTGGAGCTGATGCCATTCATATCAAAACTGCTCCTGGCTCCTAGCAGGTCATCCGTACAGATATCACACTCGTTGCCTCCAGTGGCAAAGTTCCAGTATGGCAGAGCAAATGTTGGGTCCCCAAGCATGTCCTACACACAAACATATACAAGTGAGAACACTGCCTGTCAAAAGTTTGAAGACACTTAAATATTTTTGTTTTTGATAAATGATCATGTTTACTTTGTTGGTTTTCTAGCGTAACATTAAATAGCACTGTTGCCATACTGCACACATTGTGTCTCCTTTTTGTGATGTCAGCACTCAGCAGGACAAAAGAGTTTCAATATGTGCTTTTAACAGTAGTTGAAAGAAAACTGTCTAGTCAGCAAAGACTACTTTGATAATAATGAAGCTCGTAAAATATGCTTGAAGTATGAGGGACTGAAGGGGGTCTACAGAATAATGGAAGCACATGAAATACAGTCATGAACACCTACCACAGGTGCACTTTGTAGGTTTACAGTTACTGACTGTAGCTCATCTGTTGCAGCACAAATCATCAGCCCCGCTCTACCCTGTTCGTCAGTTGATGGAGACCACCAAAGAACTGCCACTAACCAGATGTGATTTTGATGGTGAGCCATTCTCAGCACAGCAATGACACCAACATGGCAGCAACATTACATTATGTGGCAGTTGGTTGGTACAGTGTAGGAGGTAACACCTCTGCCTTCTACACTCTTGACTGAGGTTCAGACCCCAGTCTAGGTAATCACCCTACACTATGCCAATAAGAGTCCTTGGGCAAGACTCCAAACACTACCCTCACCTACCTGTGTAAAACGATCAAATTGTAAGTCGCTCTGGATAAGAGCATCTGCTAAATGCTGTAACCGTAAGTGTGACCTACAAAGCACTCCTATGTGGTAGGTGTTTCTGATAAAATGGCCAGTGAGAATTTGGAATTTGGAGAATTTCTGTACTCAATAATTTTGAAAGAGATTCGAATGAGGGCTAACCAGCGCTAAAATATGTTAACTGTCATACATTAGTCAGCTATAATCATTTGTACATTTGTTTAATGATACAGGGGTTGTGCTAAGACAAGTGCTTCCTCTATTGTTTATAAGATTGTGGAAGTATCCTATTCCAAATAAGATGTTATTTTGAAAATAAGCCATTGTTTTGACATATCTCTAGAAAATAAGCCATTGAGCCAACATCAAGTTTCCAGTTTAAAATATTACATTACAGAGCTGGACTGTGTTGTTTTAGCTACATAAAACTGATCAGGTCGGAAACAACGATGAATTTGCCACAATGCTAATATAAGCATCTATTCCCAGGTGTGCAAAATAAATACTGTTTGAAATTTAAAAACAAGCTCTGGTTTTACTGATTTTGGCAAAAACTATGCCGTGTGCTACATTTATCATTGAGTTGAGTGAGATTTTTGTTACAGTAGAGCCTGTAGCAGCCTTGCAACAGTAGCTATGAAAGAGTGCATTTGTGGGTGAAGTATGAAAAGATCAATGTGAAGTTTGAGATTTTAAGATGCGTTTCATTGGCTGATTGCTGTGATGATTAGATTGTTTCATTTTTCAAATGTCCAAAAGCTGTAAAATTGCCTTTGCCATTTCATTCCCATGTCTACCTAACTTAAAGTTACACCTCTGATCTCACCTGCATGTCTCTCTCCAACTGCAGCAGGTGAAAACGGTGCCAAGTGAGGAATCCAGGGCCTTCATGAGAGAAGTCCACTCCTCCGAAGCTGTCCTGCCCACGCCCCATGTAAGTCTTCCCAACAGAGTAATAATGAGTCCAGACGAAGAAGTTATAGATGGTGATGTTCTCAAACTGAACGCTGTTTCCATCCGTGCTGAAGATCTCCTCATAGCGTCGTGTGCAGATGACGAGATCGGGGTGGATGGTCCGCTTAGCTCGGTCCAGAGCTCTAACAAATGCCCGCTTCTCCTCGGGAGACATCTGCATGATGTTACGACGCACTGGATTTGCGAGTACATGGACGTGAATGAGAAACATGCATAGACATATACTGTTGTGTATCTAGGTAGGTACAACAGGTAGATGGATATACAGACAGACAGACAGATGGACGTAGGTAGATAGGTGGGCAGACAGGTAGATAGGTCAACAGACAGATGGATAGACAGAGATAGATAAACAGGTAGACGGATAGACAAAGATAGGGAAATAGACAGGTAGACAGACAGGTGGACAGACAAATAGATAAATAGCTAGATGGATAGATAGATAGGTGGACAGAGATAGATAAACAGGTAGACGGGCAGACAATGAGAAGTACATAGACAGGTAGACAGACAGATAAATAGGTAGACAGACGGGTGGACAGACAAATAGATAAATAGCTAGATGGATAGATAGATAGGTGGACAGAGGTAGATAAACAGGTAGACGGGCAGACAGGTAGATAAACCCCGGACACACAGATAGACAGATAGATACATAGATAGACAGATAGATAGATAAATAGACAGATAGATCAAAGGTCACACAAGCTATGTTTCCATCGACTTTTTTGCACAAATTGCAAGCGATACATTGAAAATGCTCAAAAAGGTAGCAATTTAGCTTTCATTAAAGCTGACTTTTAAACAGATAGATAAATAGATAGATAGATAGACAGACAGATAGGTGGATATATAAACAGTCAGTCAGATATTCTGACAGACCTAAAGAATCAGACTTGTTTATCTGTGTACTGTAGTGGTTTTTTCTGTATAGATATACCTCAGAATACCAAATAAAACTCTAAATCAGTCCTGAACTGCTTGCACGCATGAACTAGTCTGGCAAGCAAGACTCCTAGCTACATCAGACAGTCTAGTGCATCTTATTGTGGCTAAGAACTGGCTGCTTTGACAGGAAGGGGCCTTGTGACTGACCTGCAAAGCAACCAGTCACATTTCTTACTATCAGAATGCAGCTGACAAAATCCTGATAGCTGTGTCCAACTTAGCGTTCAGTAGATGTCAATGGATGGAACGTCTGAGGCAGAGACATCAAGGTTTTATAACTAAAACCTACACAATACTATCTGTCAGTGCTTGAAAAATGAAGGCTGCACTATGTAAGTTTGAAGGACGTGGAAACAGCTAGTGTAAAATGTTACATTTACAGCATTTAGCAAACGCTCTTATCCAGAGTGTCTTACAAAAAGTGACAAAAGTGCTTTGGACCTCTCCCCTCTGATGATTGCGAGTGTGTTGAAAGAGAATTCAAAGAGAACATAGTCAAAACTTGACAAAGGATGGGTCTTTTTAAGGGAATTATCTACTGTCGTTATATCTTCATCAGTACAATGTAGCGCAGGCGATTAATCGAATTTTACTTTTATTTGCGATTTTGGCGATAATGAAAACCAACGATAATGAAAACAAGATAATCAAGAAAAAATTATTATTGTACCGCATTATGCAATGATGTGGCCTCCACCTGCTCATGGTTTGTGCACACTGGCATAAGCATATTTGCATTATATTTGCTTATGTAAGTGGTGTATCCTTACCTACGTTGATTCTCCGGTCACAGTTAGGGCCAGTCAGTCCATGTTTGCATCGTCCACAGTGGTATCCACTAAAATTGTCATTACACCGACAGGTTCTGTTAAAGAAGCGCTGCGGCCATCTTTCTCGGTCATCCCATCCACTGTGTGGGTATTGAGGCCCATGTGGACGGCCATCAACAGCCACCGGCATACATCTTCCCCGTCCAGTGCTAAATCCACACTCATCATTGGCTCGGTTGGTGGGTGATGGACAGCAGGTGCCACTGCGGAGTCCCTCAGGTGTCACACATTGGCGTGGGAACTGACCTTGAGTCACCACAACGTAAGTGCACACCAACAAGACACTCCACCACATCCTATGGGAACCATGAAAATAAACACTATCACAGGAAAACAATAGGTCCATCCCCACTGAATTACAGAATAAAATGCCTAAGGAGCTTTTCCACTGCATCAGACTGTGAATCAGCCAAAAATGGCTAGTGAGTGTGCATGTGCACAGATTTTACTTAGTAATCTAGTTAAGCTGTGCAGAACATTGCCAAAATTCTTTCAGCCTGACGGAAAACTGTAGCATGAAAAACTGAAAAAAAAAACCAAGTTTTTGTTAAAAAAAAATACATTTCGAATATGGTAACTCATTTAAAATTGGTTGCGTATTCATGTCAAAGGTCACACAAGCTATGTTTCCATCGACTTTTTTGCAGAAATTGCGAGTGATAAATTGAAAATGCACAAAAAGGTAGCAATTTAGCCTTCATTAAAGCTGACTTTTAGCAACAAACAATGCTTTTCATAAAGATGTCCTATACTGCTAGGGTTGGGTGGTTTCATATCCTCAAACAGATATTACCACATTATACTGTATTACCTCGTGTAAAGCTCATAAGTGATGTAAAAGCAGTTATGGTATTTTTGTGTGTCTTGTTTTGTGAAATTTCAAACTTATTGTAAAGTTCAGTTCATTTGGTCACTACATAAGTAACCGCAGTGCCTGATTTGCAAGCCTTCTTTTAGTAAATGTCAAACTATCTATCTAACAATCACTAAATATTAAACAGTGCTGCAGAGAGGAGCAGGATAGCATTAGCTTAGCTAGCATGATAACAGCTCTGCACACCATAGAACATGTTCAGTTCTGGCTAACTAAAGCACGGACACAAGTTTGGACGATAATGATGCTAATTCAAATCTAAAGGAGTGAAGTGTTGCAACTGCCATTGAAATGCGAAATTAAATCTGTTCCATGATGTTTGGATCTGCGACTTAACGTTAGCTTAGCGAGCAGATCATACAGTGCCACATTTCACAGTACATGTTTGATTCTATCTGAGTAGCGCTCTGCTAACACAAGAATAGATGATAAAAACTGTCTGTGGAAGAGGTTCAGGATGGCTCAAGTATATGTGATGGATGAGCCCACTGACACTTTACACACTTCAGAGACAGAGGATGTGTGGGTACTCCACCTGAGCATCTGTGGATGTTTAGTTCAGCTCAAGGTCACACACTCCGCACACACACATACACACACATCTCAGGGATGGGAAAAGAGATATGAGAGTTCAATTTATGGCCAATAGCTAAAGCCCCAGAACTGTATGAGCCAAATCAGCTCTCTCACCTTTATACACACCTATGTCCACATAACAACAGGGGCATCTTGAACTTATTACCTTATATGTAGTTCAAGCATAAACTTTCGATTTCAATATATGTAACTTTTGTGTATGTCATTTCGGGTATATAAATGTAAGGGCGAATTATATGGCTGGTTTGTATGTCTCATACCAGGTACTGCGCTGTTATATTGACAACTTCAAATTTCTTCATTACTGAAAAAAATCCTGCTTATTTTAGGTTTGAGAGCAACAAATTTTGGTGTTTGGGACTGTAGCGTTTTGGATAAGCTAACGATAGCTTAGTTAGCAGGCCAAATGTGCCACACACCACAGCACAGGCTTCAGGTTACAGCTAACTGATGCTAAAATGACACACATTTAGAAGATATTTGAAAGTGCAAAGTCGAGCAGCTGGAGTTATTTTAAAAGCGGTAATATGTTCTGGGTGTGTGTAGCACTTAGACATCGCTGAGCTTCTATCATATTTATTTCTTCCAAGGTTTTTCCTGGCTCTGATTTCTGTCAGTGCCACCTATCAGTGAGCCCCTTACACCACCAATCAGTGACCCCTCTTAAATATAAATGTTTATTTAGCCATTCAGACATACAGTAGAAATTTAATGTCAATTTTAATATACCTCATCAAAATGATCATTTGAATCATTTTGAAATACCGTTATTGCTTTTTAATACCACAGTATACTTTATTACTGCTTTTACCACCCAACCCTGTTTTAGTTTGTCAATTTTAAAAAGTTTGCACAAGTTGAGCCTGTAAGTGAAATATTCTCTTTCTTATCCACATTGAGTTATTTGAACAGTTTCCACGTAGGAATATTTACTATAATAATACTATAATAATTTCTGGACATTTCTCGTTTTCATTTTCCTCCGAACTGTTTCTCTCCACCATGCTGCTTGTATTTGCTTAGGTTTTTTAAGAGGTATATGAAAGAAAACTGTCACATGACATTGAATTTATGTGTAAATGCGTTATTTTCCATTTTTTTGCTGTCGACATACTTTTTAGCTAAATTTGAATGGAAAATTTTTTTGTCCGCATTCATAAAATGTAACTGGCAATTTCCCTTCCCATTTTCTACATCAACAAACTTTTAAAGCATTAAAATGCGTTTTGTAAACAAATCCTTTGAATGGAATCATGGCCAGTGTTAGGATAGATCAGTTAAAGTGTTTTACTACATAATTTAGATCTTTAAGAATAAACATCTGATTGATATGGTAAGCAGATCATTCACAAGCTTGTTTTAACATTGATGGTTAGCTAAGTAAACCACATCTATATGTGCCACCATTCTTTCATTATCAAACTCATATCATCAGAACCAAAACAAAGAACTCTTGTGCTTAGAAGTATTAATATGATTTCAGCAGTGTTTTTCACCCATTCCAGGGTTAGTATTACTGGTCAGCATTGTCTTCATTGAGGAATGTGTGTGTGTTTTATGTACTTAAAGGAAAAAAGTTTTAAATCAGTGTTTAAGAATAATATATAGCCAGTTTGGCTGTAGACATGTATATAAAATGATTCTAATATGCTAGTCCCATTCATAGGTTTCAAATTAGTAGTACACAAGGAAGATATAAAAAAATAAATAAGAAACTTTAGATGTCTAGACTGATGAACAGAGCTGTAGAAGATCCTAAAATGACAGAGAAAGCTGTATAATTTTGAGACTGAAGTAATAATAAAATTAAGAATTTGCTTAAGAATTTATCTTAATTCAGAATTCGTCATATTTCAAAAGTGGAGATCAAACCTCAGCGCAGATAACTTAACAGAAATGAATGAAAATGGTTAATGACAGTATATCAATCATCACTGAATATCATGTAATAACTCTTAACATACTGAATAAAATGTCTAAAAGTACAATTTGGCAAATAGTTTGCAATATTTAGAGCCTCACTGTATATGATTTTATTGTATTATTATATAAAGTTACAAAAAATTGTTAAAAAATGTCAAGTGATTCTGAACGCTTGAACAGTAGCGCACACTGGACGTCACTGTCAAGGAAACGGTAGGCCTTGTCCCAACTGAATTAGAGAAGAAGGCACTTCTTCTAGTGTTTTTCTAGTGCACACTACATAAATCAGCCAAATATAAGAAGGACACATTTGTAGTACCCATCTTCAGACTCATATCATCATATCAAAAACACAGAGTTCTATGAATACCTCCAGGAATTATTGATCTCAGCTGTATTGTTCACTTAGTCCAGGATTACTTTTAGTATATTAAGCAAACTTCTTCACACAAGAGTACTAGACAGAAAAGAATAACAATAATAATAATAATACAAAAAGGTATTTAAAAGAATAATAACTGCTGCATTTGTTATAGAAAGCTCTCATAGACATTTGCTTATGTATTTTTTTTTTTGTTTCGGATAATGTTATTTTCTCACAAAATAATAATTGAATTAATTGATTTCAGTACAGTAAAATGTTACAAACATACAGAACCTTATATAGCTCTCATATGTGTTGCTTGTTTCTTTACTTTTTTATTTGATCTCAGGTAATGCCATAGTTGTATGCAAAAGTTTGTGCGCCCCTGGTCAAATGAATTTGCAGAAAAAAATGCTATGTTTATGTTCCCTGTAGAGGATACATTAACTTACTTTCACTTGGAAAATCAAACTTTTGCATATGACTACAGGTACAGTATATTCAATTTTAAACCAATTTTATGGCTTATGTGAAAATGCATCTAAAATTATCTAAAATGAATTTTTAGGATTTATTTAAAATCTAAAGTATTGTTAGCATGTGATTTCAATATTTTATTATTTCTCCTAATTAGCTCTTACCACACAGCAAAATATCCAATATAATATTTTAAAATAAAATGAATGTACCTGATATCCGTTTTCTCTCTTTCTCTGTCTGACTCACTCCCCTACTTCCCCTTGTACTGCCCCTTGGACATTCTTATTTATACCCCTCCCCTCATGACTCTACACATCCTGCTGATCCCTTCATCTTGTGATCAGCAGCCTCTGGGGGGGGGGCGGGGCAGACAAGGTTTTTTACTGCTACTCATGCTAATAAAAATATGCAGTGAAATAGCTCTGAAAATTTGCTTAAAAGGGCAAATTTATGTAAGAGGACAGAAAAACACTTTTCTTCCACAAAAGGAAAGCCAGGAGCTCAAAGATAGAGAGAGTGTAAAAGACTGTGTCCTATACCAGTGTGCATGTGTGCTCTACATAAGTGGTTCTTAATCACAGGTGGGCCTCGAAAGCATCATTTATTGGGAGGGCCAGTGGTCCCGAGTTAGCCAATGATGGCCCAAAAAATCAATGAAAAACTAATTGACCTTACAATAAGCAAGAAATAGAAAATGGCTTTAAACAGTGGACAATATTAAAATAGGTTCTGCAACAACAACGCACAAATGCAGCTTCATTGGTTTCTTGCCCCTTGCCTCTAGAAACATAATACACACCCACACCACCACCACCCCCCACACATTTGAGTGACTCATGTTAAAATTTGTGTAGTAGAAACAGTCCACTCGCTGCATTCCCTTTTGATATTTTATGTTCAGTGATATGTCATATATTGTGGTGGTAGGCACATAGACATAGCTTTAGATGAACAAAACATAGATTAAAATTTTCCCCAAAAAAAAAAGATTTAAGCAAAAAACGTTAGTTTTGTTGTCTGATTTCTAGTGATGAAGAGGTGAGCCCATCACTCTTTAGCAGTACAAAGTTTACAGTTTTCTCTGCTCGTACACATATGGTTCAGGTAATGAATGCATTCACACCTCTGCCCCCTGCTCATCTCATCGTCAACGAGCAGGACGTTAACAGGCTTTTCAGCAACCTCGCTGCTGGGCTTTAATTACATTTAGGGCATCATATGCCTTCAAAGAGGGAGTATAAGACAATTATTCATTATCGCCCACCACTAATTCATTGGTGATACGAAGCTGAAGTGGCTATTCGCCAGCTTTTTGTTCGAATTTTCCCTCTCCACCTCAAATGGTGCAGCAGTTACATTCTGGCGCTTCAGGTGTCAATACGGCTAGACTATTTAAGGTGAAACGGGAAAGTTAGCTAGCTAGCTACTGAGACATTAGCATGCTATTAGCGATTTTTATGCTTGTTATGAAGAAAATGACCATAATACATTGAAACTACATTAAACTAAGATAGTACAATGGTTATCGTAAGTTTTTAACAGAGAAAATACTTACATTTTTGGGTTTCTTTGGTCGCTCACGCAGCCATCTTGCAGATTTTTCTTTTTTTCTCTTAAAACTCAGTCTGGAGTGTGCTTCTGAAAAACCTCCATTTGGAGGGCCATGTAGCCCTAACACTTCGCACTACCCCTCTATCCCAACAAAAGTTGGGACACCCTACCCCTAGACGTGAACGTGCAAAACAGAGGGCTAAGGGCTAAGTGGTAAGGGCAAGGGGTGAAATAGGATTGGGCCTTAGGCTCTCCATCCATCCCAAACCACGGCTATGACCAACCAGCACAGATTTTTATCAACATCTTCAACAAATCACTGGAACTTTGCTCTGTCCACATGTTTCAAATCATCTACCATCATTCCAGTACCCAAAAAACTAACTGTGGAGGAGGGGGCATGACTGGCTCAGTTTATTTGCTTAACATTAAAAGTTATGGTGCATTTAATATGTTTTATTTTTTTCCAATATGTTGAACTCTGCAAGTAAATATAAATCATGTACTGAAATGTTTCAAAACATCTACCATCATTCCAGTACCCAGAAATCTAACTGTGGAGGAGGGGGCATGACTGGCTCTCTGTCCTGCATGTGACGACCCTGACCTCTGTAGCCATGAAGGTCTATAAATGCCTGGTCTTAGCCCATCTGAGAGCCATTACAAACACTTTGCTGGATCCCCTGCAGTTCAAATACAGAGCTAACAGGTCTATTGATGATGCAGTCAGCTTGGCCCTGCACTTCATGCTACAGCATCTTGACAGTCCTGGAACCTACACTAGAGTTATATTTGTGCACTTAAGCTCAGCTTTCAGCACCATAGTGGCAGAGCTGCTGTGGGTCTTCAGGACATCTACAACAGCAGGATGACGAAGAGTGCCAGCAAAATTACAGATGACCCCTCCTCTGGTAGAAGATTCGGGGCCATCAAAATCAGCACAACCAGACATGCTAACAGCTTTTTCCCCTGAGCTATAGCACTCATTAACCACAGTGGACACCTCACACTTTAAACTTAAACCATCAAACCTCCTTACTGTATCACAGTATAACTTTTAATGCTTATGTGCCCAAATATTCAATATATTCAAACGTTTATATCTTTCACGTCAGCTTTTTATTATCCTTTATTCTATTTATTGTATTTTTATTTTTTTGTCCTTTATAAAGATATTTGTTTATAGTCTGTGTGCTTGTTTGGTCTGTTTAGTATGTTGCATGTCATAAATGTGTGACTCACCAAGACAAATTCCTTGTATGTGTAACATGCTTGGCGAATTAACATGACTCTGATTCTCATTCTGAAATAAAACTGCTTCTGGTCTATTCCTCTGATTCTGGTCTGTTCTTCACTCATGAATGGGTTCTTAGTTGTAGACCTCTGAAGTTGTGTGTGAGTGTGTAGTTGGCCTACATTTTTCTCTATGAGAAAAATGAATGTTTTTTTTTTTCTAAAAGCTCCTTCGCACCTGTGGTAAACAAAAAGATTCCAAAGCTGATTTTGTCCTGTGTACACTTTTCCCTGTGAGTCTTGTTAGATCCTTTGAGTTATGAGGTCATTTAGCAGACAAAATACAAATAATGCTACATTGCAAATCTGCTGTGCACTAAATTAACATCATAGAACAAGATACTGCACCAAAATTAGGGCTGTGTATTGGCTGGCGACACACTATATATCATGATACAGGGATTATGATTCAATATATTGCTATATATCGTGATACTGCAAGCAAAGCTTGATAAATTGTGATTTTTTTTAAATCTATTTTGAGGAAAACTGTAATATTATAAAAACACACCACCACATTTATATTAATCACAGTCCCTGTAACATCCAACAACATAGCACTATTTTTTGTGCAGTCTCCATGAACAAAATAATAAATATTTGCTTATATCAGTAAAAAAATTAAACTAAAAGCTTGTTTTTACCTCCTTGTAGTACTTGACCACAGTGATGTCAGTGATGTGTTGTCGGGAGGTGTAACGAGGCTCCATTGTATTACATAATGTCAAAGTCAAAATGTCCCAACGTAGGACATAAATATAGGCAGCTCCCTACATAAAACTGTAGGTAGGACATTGTGATCTTACAAAGCTGAAGTCAGCTTCCTATTCACCAGCTACTTGTTCGAATTTTCCTGTTCCACCTTAAATGGTGCAGCAGTTATTACAACGCCTTAGGTGCCACAATGCACTACTGCACCGTTTAAGGTGGAACAGGAAAATGCAAAAAAGACTGGCAAATAGGAAGCTGACTTCAGCCTTTTCTAAATCTCATCAGAAAATGTTCTAAAATTGCATTGTAGTGATATTAAGCTGAACAATACAATAGACTGTATAATAGACTTGAAGTAAGGCTAAATTAACATTTAAAAACAGTTACTATGCTTTGCTAATGATATGGGCATATTTGCTTGATAGATAGGACAAATTGTTCAAACACTGGTCTAAGTTTTGGGTTCAGTTATTGGTAGTAGTGTTACTAGTCAGCCAGGTTTGCTAATGCTAACATTGTGGTGCGCCCTTATGTGCCCTTATTGTTAAGTGGAAGAGTCTAATGGCTGAAGGTAGACGACAACACTGATTAAAAGTAAACTAACTAAAATCATTAATTAAAAATTGATACTGTGTTTTTGAGAATCGATACAGTATCACAAAACATGCTATACTCAAGTGTATCAATATTTTTATACAACCTTAACCAAAATTACCCCATGCAAGCCATCAAGCCTTCAAATGTGGTACATTTGCTTTGGCAGTAGTACAGTTGGAATAGCTGCTGTTGTTATATAACAGTGTTAAAGTTTAATAGTACAATTACTTTTATGCAACATTTTAATGCAGTGGTAACTTGTTTGGAGCATGTATGTAGCATTATTTATATTTTGACTTTGACCGGTTTCACATACACTCAACGTCAAAAAAATAGTTGCACCCTGAAGGAAGTGTCGGATTGCAATGCTATTGCTACACATACAGAAGTAGTGTCTCTCAGTATGGCGTCGGGCCGCCTTGTTAGCCAAGATGTCTTGGTTGAAGATCACCCACTGCCATTCTGAGTCGACACCATTGCAGTCTTTGGTGACGTTGACGTGGTGTTAAAGGCAGTCGTCGTAACATTCTGCGTGCATGTAGTCCTGCGTCGTGCAGCCGTCTGCCAATGGTGCTGGCACTAACAGGATGACTCATGGCGGGCATCACTGCTCGCTAAATGTCCACAATTGTGGCTGTTGGGTCACTCCACGCATGTTGGACAACCCATTGGTTCTTCCTCTCTGTGGTTCGTGTAGGTCTCCCAGATCCTTCATGTTGCTAGTGTGTGTCTTCTTCCATCCACTGCCACCAACAGCATGCTAAGGTAATATCTGCATGACCGGTATGGCACGCGATACTTCGATAAGACCATACCGCTTCCCGGAGCACTACAATGCGACCCCAACTGCTCTAATTGCTTTCAAACTCTTCTCCGAGGCATACTTCGCTTGCAAAGGATGCTATCAACACAACAGCTTGAGTCAGAATGGAAAGCATGTGCAACGGGACGACCTTAAATAGTCAGTCAGACACAGTGATATTGCCTATCATTGCTTACGAGTCATGAGAGGCCAGCTGATTGCATCTTTTTCAACCAGCATTAACACAATGACAGTGGACAGTGACCAGCTACTTCATTAGTTACAAATACACCTCCTTGTTTCTAC